TCTCTTGAAGTTAATAAGACAAAAAATGCAAAATAAAGCTCTGTCTTGAAGACTCTTTTGAAAAAAAAATTAACGCTACAGCTTTACCACTGACTGTTACAGAGAGCTGACACTGAAGACTGAGGACAATAAATGGTAAATAAACATCTCTTCACAGAACATTTCACCATATCATGGTTTTTAATCTGTTTATGTGGAGCGTGTGGCGTGCAATTCTCTGAATATGAGCTGTTGCTATAGAAACGATAAGGTATTAGAGTATATGCTTTAATGTAAACCTGTGATTTGCCTTGTAGCTGACACTAGTGTCAGAGCTGGTGTAGCAGTGATGCAGCTACAAATCCCTCCACATCAAAAACTAATAATTAACAGATTAAAAAAGTGCTTTTATTTAACAAAGTAAAACGTATAATTGTTTTATAGGGTGAATTGTTTTGGAATGACACATTTATTTAACATTTATGGAAGGAGTCTCCAGTGTCAGCGCTGTGTAAAGGTCACATCTCACAGCCCCGTAGTTAATATTTTCCTATAACAGCACACCCGAGGGTTTGGGTATAAGTGGAGTGTGGAACCTTCTTTTTTTTTTTAGGTTAGGATGCATCCACTGCCACTGGGCAGTAGGTTGCTAATAAATAACCACAAGAGGAAATGACTCAAATAAAAGTTTAAAAAGTACTTGTGTCTGATGAATAATTTAAACCTGATCTTAGCAGATATGCTGCGTGACGACCCACAGCCTCGACCCCACCTGCGGACCATCACACTAATTAGATCACTGGGTTCAGGTAACAGGGTTCAACTACAGGGAAACAGGGCAGAAAAGTTTTCCTCTCTCTCTCTCTCTCTCTCTCTCTCTGTGTGTGTGTGTGTGTGTGTGTGTGTACAGTGAATTGTTTCAGCCCCTTGTTCATTTTGAAGCGGACCTGTTTCGCAGCCACTTTTTCAGGCAAATCTCAATGCTTCATCTGATAAATAATGTAAGAAAAATATGTTGAGTGATTTTGAATTTTTATATGACTGTGTGTGTAATGAGAATTTTTTTAAAAATACTTAGCAAAACATATTTGCATCTAGTATTGAGACGATGTGGAATTGTAGCTTATGTGTCACTAATGAACTAACTAACTAAGTTCTAATTAGGAAACTTCACTTGAATAAAATTGAATCATTAGCCCCTCTGACTATTAGCTTGCATTATAATCTTATTTCACCAAATATGTCTATGCCTGCAAGGTCCATTATTCATGAGCTGCAAAAGAAAGCTACATCAGCACTAGATAATAAAACCCCACAGTAGCTTCATGGTGAGACGGAGCCAGAAAACGGAGTTAGCTTGAATGCTACAGGTTGCTGATTACAGTTTTAACACATGCTCTAAAGCCACATATTTTTGAGGAACTGTCTGGCTGTGTTTTGGGCTTTTCTCAACTCTGTAGAATGCGAGTGTGTGCCTGAGGACGTGAGGAGAAAGCATTATGTGGTAGCAATTTCATGACGCTGGAGCCTGCAGTAATCTCACTGCACAGATCTGAGGCCATATGTCCCATCACTCCGGGCAGAGGTTTTAATCAAAGGACCACTAAGCCATGATGAGAGCTGGACATGAGAGGGGAGAATGTGAGGAGCATGAGGATTGAAAAAGAATAAGCAAAGAAAGAGAAAAATGACTTTTTTTTATTAAAACACGCAAGAACTGGCTAACAAGAGTATATTCACAACTTCACAATATTCACAATAGATGAAAAAAAGATGATTTGTCATATTTACAACCTGCAGAGCCATGGTTCTAAAAAAGTAAATCATAGCTATGGTGGTGGTGATTTTCTAATTTTGTTGCAGTGGTGGGAATTATGCCCAAAACAAGGACAATCTAAAACGATTGACATGAAAAAAAAACCCAATGTGGCTTAATGTACCAAAGCAATGACGGGGCAACAGGCTCAATGAAACTAGGCAGTTAAAGATTTAAAAAACACCAGGCTTCAGCTTCAAATTTTGGTGAACGTGTGCTCACTGTAGCTGACAGGAGCGGAACCTGATGTGGTCTCCTACTGTTGTAGCCCATCCTCCTCAAGGTCATGAGATGCTTTTCTGATCACCGTGGTTGTAAAGAGTGGTTATTTGAGTTACCAAAACCTTTCTGTCAGCTCAAACCAGTCTTGATGTTCTCCTCTGACCTCTCTCATCCAGAAGGTGCTTCCGCCCACAGGATGTTTTTTTTTTGTTGTTGTTGTTTTCTGATTGGATAATTGTAGGGGAACCCCTGTCTCAGAGTAATGCTTATTCCTCTGAATCCATTATTAGCTGTAGGAATTAAGCTCTAATAACAAATGTCAAACATTTACCAGCACAGTTTTGATAAATATTTCAGAGAAAAACCTGTGACACGCTCACTCCCTCACACTCACACACACAATTCAAACTTCTCTTTTTTTCCCTTTTTTCCTTGTTCCAATTTTTCAGATGCAGCTGTTCATTTTGTGCATTGACAAACATCATAGCAGAGATTTCTGTTTGCTGAATAAATATCCCAGAAGTCTTTCATGCATCTAAAGCAGGTAGAGGCAGGTGGGAGAGAAGCACTCGATCACCCCTGTTCTTGGAAACTATGTTCCAGATACGCCTCTCTCAGCATTTTCACTTCGACTGGCCAGATGGGTCTTGAGCTCTAAGCGCAGGTTTAAGAATGGGATGGAACTGATTTATCTTTTATTTTCATAAATAAGGCTATGTTGTTTTAGTGCAGTCTTCCTCTTTTTAGAAATAGCCAACAATGTTGCAAAATGTTGATCCATTAAAAAAGGTCCACCCTGAAACACATTAAATATGTTTATGTTGAAATATTTGTGATGTATGTAGTGACTTTGTTGCTAATTTCTTGGTTGGTGCTGTATTTTCCATGAGAAGTTAGCAGTTGTGTGCTGCACTGATGGCACACAGGGACCTTGTTATTGTTAGGGTCATTACCATGGCATTTAATAGGAGAAAAAAGTAAGGGATAGCAGTTAGGTTTAGCACTCAGGCTAGCTCCTAAGAACAAAACAGCAAGAGCTTCTTTAATCACTCATCATTTTCCAGCAAAGTTCAACATTATTGAGAAATTTAAGTAGTTAAGAAGTTAGTGCAAGCAATAAACTCTGTAAGGGGACAGTCGGCTTGGCCTCGTGCCAGCACTACAGGGGGCCAGAGAGCACCATCTTAATTATAATTAGTGGCAATCAGCATCACCTGTGCCTTGGTCGATTTAAGCAGAGCTCTCCACTCACTCGCTGCTCAGTCTTGAGTTGCTCTTGCTACGTGTTGGTGGGCAATTCTCAGCTGGTAAGCCCTGGTAATATTCTTCTGGGTACATCCTGGTAATTTCTCTGGCTTCTCTAGCCAACTCTTGAGCTGTCTAAGCTCTCAGTGTATGTGTGTGTGTGTGTGTGTGTGTGTGTGTGTGTGTGTGTGTGTGTGTGTGTGTGTATGTATATATATATATATATATATATATATATATATATATATATATATAAAAAATTCTAGTCTTGGCCCAGGCTTTTAGTTAATTTTTGGGTTTGTGGCTTGCTCTGCACTTGGGTCTATCCCTGTCTCTTTGAGAGGCTCACTGGGTTAAATTCTTGCCCCTGATCCCTGAAGACCAGGGTTCAAATCCTGCATGGGGGTGACTTCCATTACAGCAAGATTAAGCCATGGACCTGGCAGAGCTTGAGCAGTTAAAGAGAGCCCTAATTAGTAAGCGCACTATAGGTAGCCATGAGTGGGTCTTGCAGCAGATCCTGTCACAACTGCAATTGCTCAGAATGATGCAGAACCTGCTCAGCCAGTTGCAGAAACGGCTGTAGAGCTGCCCAAGCCTACTGACCCCGAGAACACAAATCGAGCATACTCACAATCAACTTTTAGTGTGCCTGAACTTTTAGTTAATCCTTGGGCTTGCTCTGCAGGTGGGTCCTTTTCTGTCTCTGTTGGTGGCTCACCGGGTAGAGTTCCTGCTTCTGAGCCCTAGAGAGCATTGATAAAACCCCTCACAGGCTGATCTTCCATTACAATCTCAAAGTCCCAGAATGATGATGGCATTGACCATGGTATTTGAATGAAAGTTGAAGCTTCACAAGCAGATCTGTTTGAGCAGAGTGTACAAATGAAGAAGTGAGAACTTGACAGAGCTTAAGTGCTGCATCACTCTCTCTAGGTAAAGATGAAGCCAAGGATAAGTCCCACTGCACCACTATCAACAGGTAGTCAAAGAGCGTTGTGGGTAATAGAACAACTTTCACCAAAATGAAAACAGGCCAGCATATCGATGAAAGTTCGCTGATAAAATATCACATGTTGATTAAAGATTTGCTATGCAAACCAGTCAGGGTGTTTTTTTTTCCTTTAACACCACTAAAGAATGTGGAATGCTGGTGATTGAAACTGTTTATAATTAATAATGTTTTGTTGTATGAACAATGTCAAAAGGAACACACACACACTCACATGTGGGTGTTTACAGGAATGTTGAGTGTTGCGTGGCGTAATCCCCAATCTTTGTGCAGTGAATATCCGATGTCAGTAGAACAGGATGTGATGGACATGCTCAAATTGTCACTGGCAGAGAGCATGAGCAGCAGCGAGGTGTCACGCAAGGTTCAGTAGTTGCTTCTGTACACTTGCACCTGCTGCTTCTGTGAACCTTTACACAGTGCTGATGAGCTTTGGCATCGAGCCACATACCAAGTGCTTTCTTTAGCAGCTTGAATTCATATTGTTACCCTGTCTTAACCTGCATGAAGTGGAAAAACCACTCCAATAATTGAGATTTGTTTTTCAAATGGGATTTTTACACAACCCTTTTATTTAATTCTTCCACATGATTCATTTTCCCATATGATTTTTCTCCCTACTTTATTTATTTATTTTTTTTACATGTGATTACTTCCACGTTTTACTCATTTTTCACTTTTTACGATATTCTTTTTTACAAGATTAATTTATTTTCAACTGTGGGGTCCCTGGAGGACTAGTGGTTAGGCCATGGCACTCTCACCGCTATGACCCAGGTTCAATTTCTGGCCAGGGGACCAACACCAGCCACTGGGGTTGCACATGACGGTGCACTCCCAGTGCCTGCCCCAAGCCTGGATAAAATTGGGGAGGGTTGCGTCAGGCAGGGCATCCAACATAAAAACCGTGCCAAATCAAAATACGTGGACAAATGATCTGCTATGATGACCCCTAATGGGAGCAGCTGAAAGAACAATAATTTATTTTCAAATGTGAATATTCTCCTCATGATTAATTTTCATATGATCCCCCCAGCGATTCACTTATTGTCATGAACTTTTCACACATGATTGATTTATATTCACATGTAATTTTTTAAACATTTTTTTTTTTTACAAATGATTCATTTGATTTATTTTCACATGTTAATTTTTCATGTGATTTTATTTTTCAGATGTGATTTTCTCCCATGAATTATTCATTTACGCATGTGATGCCATATTACTCACATGATGTCGTGTGTGTACATCAGTGTATAACATGATGAAGTGCACCTTCACATGTTTTTTTACACACGATCACATTCACAATTGCATGTGATATGTAAAAAAAAAAAACCCAAAAAACATGAACATGTAGAATAAAAAGGGAAAAAATATAAAAAGTAAAAAAAGTGGGTCCTAAAAATGTAAGAGTCCAAGTATTAATTTAATTAATTAATTAATTTTCAGTTATACTCAGTAAAGTACATCTGACAGGATGTAGTAAAGGCTCCTAGTATATAAAGCTCTTAAAAGGGAAACCTCCAGGGGAAGTCATCAAGGATGTGTTAAAAACAAAACAGGCCCAAGACAAAATCCCAGTGATCAAATAGAGCTTTTTTTTTATACACCTCCATCTACAGGTAGCACATGGAGCTGCACGTTTGCCTTTTAGACTGGCCTGTAATGCAATAAAACATGACACATTATGGGGTTTCATAAATCTTTTTCATTTAATTGTATAATAAATATATTTTTTTGTTTCCATTAATACCATTCACTCATCTATAACATTAGAACATGACACAATGTCAAAATCATGCATTTTATAGCTTTCAGGTACATTTAGCTCTATCTTGACATACAATACAAAAACATAGACACATTACAGATATTATTTTGGATATCTGTACACAACAGACACATTTGCCATCACACCATTGGCTACAAACTGCGCATCGCAATACACAAAACGTCGTTACACCAATTTCCTACTAAGTTTGGAGTTTTTTGCTTTTTTTAAGTGACCAATCGAGTTGCATACTTCATACGTTAATACGTACACACTTAAAAATAAATCGGATCTTTTAACAAAAATAGCACACGTCGAAAAACATCTACAAATTTTCCGTTACAGTGCTTATGCCATAACAGGCTCCTGAGTCCCGAGGATTTTTTCTTTTCTTTTTTTTTTTTTTGGATAAATATTACATAAGAGGAAGAGCTAGAGAGTGTAACTAGATACAATAATGTACAAAATATAAAGTAAAAAAAAAAAATGAACAGTTTGCATAATGTGATGAAGTTTTACAGACCATTCAAAGCCCTAAAATCGAACATGTCCCATATAGCACCAGATATGCATCATTAAATCATGTACGTGGGCACAACTCAGCAACAGTGTGTTTAAGGCACTCAATGTCAACCAAAAAATAATACATTTATCTATTTAAATATTGGCATGATTAGTATGTTTTTTTTTAAACTCCATGTTTATGAAAGTACATGAGCACGTAAACATTGCACTTTATTTTTATATATTTTTTTTTACACAGAATGGTGATGAAAAATCATTTCTGGTTCAGAACGACAGCAAGATCAGCCGAAGTTCCAGTCCAAGTTCATAACCTTCATTGATCAGATGCAGCATTAGAAGGTGTGCAGCATTTATTTACTAGAGGTACAGAGGAGGAGATGCTCCGGAAACGTTTCCCCTCTGCTGTTGGTCAGATCTCATCACAGGCATCGCCACACAAACACACTGAGAAAGAGAGAGTAAAAATATCAGACCTTATTTTAAGGGCCCAAATTTTCATAACTGCTCGACCACCTGGAATTAAAGGCATACCTCTTTGAAAGTTCACTAATTGTGCACTAATTAAGGAAGGAAACACCTGGGGGTGTGCTGTTAAATAGTAAAATAATCAAAGATGGGGTATTGTGTTCAGTTCGAAGTGAAGAAGAGTTACTGTCACCACCACGGAGTTGATTAATCCAAAAACAAGAGTCCTGAACAACAACAATTTACCTGTGATTACAATGTTTTTAGTTACTAAAAAAAAAGTCATACTTTTTATAGTCACATTTAATGTTGTGGAGGATCCATGAAACAAGTTGGTTCCTGCTATCACTTATTATAGCAGCTATAAACAGTCGTTCCCTCACCAGCCTCCATCCACCCCCTTTAAAGTTAATAGGACAAAAACGAGGCTTTTGTGTGTCATGTTACAGGGAAACCGAAAAGCATAAAAAGTCCTGACACTGGAGACTCCTTCTATAAATGTTAAATAAATGCCTCCTTACAGAAAACTTCACCATATCAACAATTATACGGTTTTCCTTTGTTACATAACAGCAAGTTTTTAAAATCCATTTCTCATTAGCCTTAGATTATATGGAGTCCCTATGAATGAGTTGTTACTATAGAAACTATAACATACTGTATTAAAATGAGCACATTAACATAAACCTGCGGCTTGAGTACCGTCAGTGCTGCTGTGATAGAAAATTAATCAACACCTTCTGACTAATCAGAATCAGGACTTCAACAGTGTTATGGTATAAGAACCAATAATTTACCAATATGCAAGTGCAGGGGGTTTTGTGTTTGGGGTACTTCTAATTTTTTTGTATGAGGCTAAAAATATAGGAGATTTGGGGACTTTTTCTGTTGCCTATTTACATTTTTTTTTGCTGTAAAACAAGTTTTGGGGATCTTAAAATTGTATTGTAAAAAATTACAAGGTCCTTGTTATTGTATACACAATCTCTTATCCAATCTGTCTATATCAGCTCCTTTACTCACATTTCACTCTGCTTAATCCTACACTAATATCTTAATTATAATATAATTTACTTGTACAAGTACTTGAGTCTCTGAAGTGCTAATTTGTGCATCAGACTCAGTTATCTTCAGCTCACCTGCAGTCGTTGCCTCCAACACTTATCACGTATTTGTCGTCGTAGGAGAAGCGAATGTTGGTCACGTGAGCCGAGTGGCCAAAGTAGCGTTTGTGTTTGGCCTGGAAATGAAAGACAGAAAAGAATCAACAGTAGTTTGTCAGTCCTGAGGTACACAGCGCTAACTTCATTTAACCTTTTTAATGTAACATACTTATTCACATGATTAAATTACAGGAGCAATAAATACATCACTGGCTAGATAAGCTGAATAACTGTAAGTGGAATAATGTACAGAAGACACACAAAAAAAATAGTCTGGTCACAATTCATCATTTTAATTTACAATTTAATTTAATTACTATATTTAGACATGAGTATCATATTTTATTATTTTTCCTGTTTTTAAGGTATTTATTACACACATTCACTTTATTCTGACTGGAGTGTTTGTCATTGTTTTTTTAATATTCTTTTACTTGAGATTCTTATTATTTTTTATTTAATTTAAATAAATTTTATTTCCATGCTCATTGTAATTTATTTATGCTTTATTTAAGCTTACAACATTTAAAATTTTTTATTTCCATATTTTAAATAAAAGTAAAAATGATATGGTCTATTCACTGCTACAGTAGTGAATGTCCCAGTGAGCCAAGCCACATCTTAATATAGCTTTACACTTTATTTTAAAATGACCAAGATACCAAGAAGTAACAAATTGTGGAAAATGGAAAATGATTTTTTTGATATTGTTTGATATTTTTAGTAAAAAAAAAAAAATTAACAGGACAAAAGGTTTGTATCTATAATTGTACTTACAAATTTCTCAGAGCAAGGGAAGTCAAAGAGCTTGACGAGGCCAAAGTCGTCTCCGGTGACCACATTGAGTCCAGCATGAGACACACAGGCACAGTTCACATCAGCCTTGTCAGCATTTCGTGGCCAAACACCCAACACCTCATCACCAAGAACACTGAGGGACAAGCACAGTGACGATCAACAACCGTTCATTTGGTTCATTTAAAGAAACATGGGCAGGCGTTCTTTCACAATGGTGCTGAGTTGCAAGAAAGACAGAGATCACAACCTAATACATTAATCCTCTGCTTACACTAGCAAGTGAGAAGTTCAAAAGTTTGTACCCCCCATGATTTTTAATTAGGGAAAAAGGAAAATGTAGCTCTATTTTATAATTCATCTATCTATAATAAAACTAGAGTTTTAGGCAAAATTAACACAAAATTTCCTGAATGCTACATATTTCCCCAGCCAGAATGAATATGATCTACACACCACACACACTGTGTGTTCGGAGTGTGTTACCTGGTCCAGGTGGCCCAGGTGATTCTATCAGCAAAGGCCTGCTCGGTCACTATCTTCCCACTAGGGACCTCATGCACCTGACGCTTATAGCTTCCTGTAGAAACCTGGAGAGGAACAACAGCGCATTTAAATCAATCTTTTCAAACTACACCATGCTGCATCACAGGGTAGCATAACACACTTGGAGGAAAGTGCTATCTGCCCTCTTCCACATACATGACCTCACAGTACACCATGATTGTTTGTGTTGATATGAACGACCGGGGAGGAACAGTAATGCCATTCCTCCCACTCAGAGATCACAGCTAATGATAAGGGCCACAGAAAAGTCAAGGTCACGCATCATTAGGATTTGAACTAGCAATCTCCCAATGATAAGGGTGATGACACTTTTTGGTTGTGCCACTCAGAGAACTCACATTTTCTTGTTCAGCTGCTGCCAATAAACTTATATAAGCAGTACTAGACACATAAAGAATACTTTAAACCATAAAGAATTGCTTTTAAACAGAACACTCTCTAACACCACATTTCAGTTTACTGAGACGTACATTAAAAAGCTGGTGCCTCCTGAAAAGTTGAAGGTTAAC